CCGATTATTAAAAATGGCTAACTCAATATTTCACCGAGAATAATATTCGCAAGATCTGAAGATTTTGTTTGTAGAAGGAACTAAAATTTAGACATCTATTAGCGAAATCTTGGGGCTTAGGAAATGTTTTTCTGGCTAAAATATTGAGTTAGCCGTTTTTAAAAATCGGCTTAAATCGAGCCGTTTAACAACACTATCTGCTGGATATTAAGAGTATTACTATCCATCAATAAATTTATGATGCGTTTTTCAATTATGGAAGTATCTTTTTTTTACTTCCTCTTTTTTAAATATTATATTCTTTTAAGGGATCTCCGTTTATATCTGGGAATGTGTCCCGTCTAAATTTATGAACTGATGCTGTAGACATTTCGACGTATTTTGCAATGTCTTTAATTTTCATCTGTTCTCTTTCAGGCATTGATAACATTTTAGTAACTATATCTATTTTTTCTTTATTCCAATATTTGTGTATTCTTTTTGGTCTTTGAATTCTCGACGAAGATTGGAGTTTTCATTTAAATTGGAAAAATTAATATTACTATTGGATAATAAAGATTCTATATTAAACATTTTTTTTTATTATTTAAGAAAAATTAAAAAAATTAATAAATATTTTTTTACTTATTTTAGAGTAATTTAAAAAATTAATAAATGTATAACACATTTTTTTTATTTTTAATTAAATTTCCAACACATTTCTTTTCAACGATTAATCTTGTTAATTAATTACTTGTCCATATTTAATTTCAATATGTATTAAATTAAAATAAAACTTTATTACCCCTTTTTATTGTTAGTTGATTTTTAACAAAATTTTTTAAAAAAATAACACATTACCGGATAGAAACACAATGACGCGCTAACATATAGATTATAAATAAATACAAAATTTTATTATAAAAAAAGCAATTATTTATGATAGTTTAACAGCTGAGAGATTTATTTACGTGATAATACGTGATATATAGCGCTTCTGCCCTCTAGCGTTGAAGGTTCAACAGAGCTACGCTAGGTTTTCCTCATTTCCATCTAATTGGAAAAATTTAATTTGGGTATAAAAGTAAAAATATGAGGAGCCCTCTACACGTTTGTGGGCAAGCCGCACCTACTTGTAGGCACAAAACCTCTATAGGCTTATTAAAAAGGAGTGGGGCAAAGAAAAGGAGCATATACCCGAGAACTACAGTATAATTTAATTACTTGGGTGATGGCTCATTTTAAGCTTAATTTCTTTAGTGTAAGTTATAATTACTATCAATATTGTAAGTAAATATGATTAAAATAAAATAATATTTACCCTTCTATCACTTCAAATTTTCCACCCAAATCATTTTTTACATTTTAATGAGGAAGTTAATAAAAAATCTTAATGAATGAAATCAAGTCATTTTTTTTAAAAAATGAAAGTAAAATAAAGTTTTTTTTTTAAATGTGGAAATTTTGTATATGATTGAATATTAGGTTAAACTATTGTTGTTAAACGGCTCGATTTTTAAAAACGGCTAACCCGATATTTTAACTAAAAATATTAAGCAATTCGGAGATTTTGCTTATAGATTAGGTTAAACTAATTTAAAAAAAAATGAAATAATGAATATAATATGTTTTCTTAAAGGCGAAAATTATGTATATGATATGATGAATATTAGGTTAAAATATTAAAAAAATAAGATTAATCATGAATAAATTCAAATATCCCATAAATGCGGAAAAAAATTGAGCTTTTTTTCTCCAACGCTTTCCATTTAAACAGTTTTAAATTGTAATATCAAACATTTTCTGACCAAAATATTACATATATTTTATGTTATTTTAGATTTTAGTTTTCTTACCTTTTACATACTAGTAAAAAAAATTTATTAGTTTAAGGAACTAATAATGTATATTTAAATAAATAGAAATACACATATCACCAAAAATCTAATTATAAATAATATATAAATATATTGAACGTATATTGTTTAACTAATGATTGACCCTTTTTAAAAATTTGTTCAAAAGACTTTTTAGTAGAATAATTTCAAACCAGTGCAAATCTATCTTTTTAATGGAAAAGTAAAAATAGTGAAAAAATATTTGTGAAAATTTTAAATTGAAAATTTTCAAACAGGTTTTGGGAGCAACCTTTAAGATAAGTTTAAAAGATATTTATAAAAATTCAAAAAAAACATATTTTTAAAGATGAAAAAATTAAAAAATGAATAATTTTCTTAATATTATATGTCTTTTAGGGTCAAATCAGCTTCAGCAATCGAACATTCTCGATAAACTACATTGATAACGGAGGCAATAATCATACTAAGATTCTTCCCCCGTTCGAAGTTATACGGAATTTGAAGGTAGGCAAGTCTTTTGCTCTCACTCAAACTGATCCAACATTTAAACTAATTAAACGATGCGAAAATTAAATAATTTTTTGTTGTTATATTTATAAATATTTTAATAAATAATTGATATTTGTGATTTCATTTCATTTATAATTACAATATATTTAATTTTTTTATGATTGCTGGCTTTTTCCAATTATGTTTTTTTAAATCGATGTATTTCTTATATATTCAATAAAGTGGGCTTTTGAACAATTTCCGCAATTTTCATTTTTAAAGATTTTTTTAGAATTTATACGATGTTAGAGAGCTTCGCATCTAACGAGAATTCTCTTATTTATATCATAGACAACTTTTATAGTTATCATATAAGTACAGTATAATTTAAAACTCTTAGGTAATGATATGACTTTAATAATTAAAGAGGAAATTATTATTATAATGATTATAAAATGGATCGGAATTAAATTTAAAATTTATTAGAGACTTCAAAACTTCGACAAATTTTTAATTACAAATGCCTTATTTCATTTTGGTTCAAATTAGATTTATACTAAACATGTTTGCCTGATTCGATTTACAAAAAAACAAGAAAAATCGCATTTTTTTATAGATGTAGGGGGAAAAAAAATATTTAATTTTTTTCTTTTTTTTAAAACAAATCATCAAAAATATAATGATTTAAAACATTTTCCTACAATAAAGACAAATCAGACAAGGGAAAAGGAAGGAAGGAAGGAAGGAAGGAAGGAAGGAAGGAAGGAAGGAAGGAAGGAAGGAAGGAAGGAAGGAAGGAAGGAAGGAAGGAAGGAAGGAAGGAAGGAAGGAAGGAAGGAAGGAAGGAAGGAAGGAAGGAAGGAAGGGAGGAAGGAAGGAAGGAAGGAAGGGTGAAAAGGAACAATAGGTTAAAATTTAAAAAATATTTAATTTGTATATTCTATTTAAGGAATACTAATTCCCGATGTTCAAATATTTGTATATTTATTTTATGTGCTAAATTCTTTAAAAAATTGATGGGCTCAGACTGTCTATTTATGGAACTGATGATGATCTTAACGTGGTATGCAATTAAGATCATGTCTTCCCTTAACATTTACTAAGAGGTTGTAGTTCATGCAATGATGAGGTTGAACGAGATTACAGTCGAGTCTAGGGTTCTTGTTAAGTGAATCATAATTCCAGCCATTACCACCAAGCTCATCATCATTTTGTTAAAAAAGTTGGATATATTAGAGAAATTAAGAGGAAGATAAATTAATAAGAGTATTCCCAAAATTCAATATTAAAAAAAAGAGATTACAATAAGATAAAAATTATTATAAATATTAACATACCATATCCTAATATATTTAAAAAATTATATATAAACAAATAAGAAAAATTTATATAATTTAAAGGAAAGATTGATATATACAGGCGGGTATACGTATATTTTTAATATCTTATATTCAAAAATTTTTTCTTATTGTAATTAGTGCTGTTAAATAGCCCGATTAGATATTAAAAAAGGGCCCGAATAAGAGAATAACCAAAATAACATTATGTAAGCCTAAAGAATTTTCCCATAGCTGACAGAACTTCTTAGACATCTATTTGCCAAAACTCGATGCTTACTTAATATTATTTTGGATAAAAGCTTAATCTAGCCCTTTATGAAAAATCGATTCAAATAAGGGATCTTTATCTTATTGTAATCCTTTTAAATATTATATTTGAAAATAAAGATTTAGAACTTGACAAGAAAAAAAGAAGGAAAAATAAATAAATTATTTATTTAGCTTCTTTTATCTTTAAGTAAGTAACCTATTAAAAATGATAATATTTTATTTTTTTTTATCCTTTATGTGTTGATTTTAAATTATGTAAATATTAAAATAGCAAAAAAATGTGGAGTCATTTATTATTTTTGAAATTATATTAAAATGTAATATGTCAATTCTCAGTTTATTCTTTCTATTATTTATTATTCTTTTTTTTCAAGATTTTAGGAATTTTGAAAAATAATTAATTTATTGCTGATTCTAACGTATATTAAAAAAAAAATTGCCAAAAATCGTCATTATTTTTGGAATTATACCAAAAATAAATTTCAAATTCCCCTATAATTTTTCTCTTTTATTTATAGATTTATATAATAATGTTTTTTTAGCATGTTTTGTTTACATCTATAATCTTTAAAATATATAAAAGCCTTGTCACAGTCACAGTGTCACAATTTATAATATTTATTTAAAAAAATCGTGAATTTTGAAAAGTGTCTGTGGCCCAATCGGCAAGAGCGTCGCTTGCAAATATAAGGGTCATTGGTTCGAATCCCAGCAAGGATTTTTAAAGATTTTTTTTTCTTTTTAATCTGGCAAAATTAGTTAAATAGAAGATAAAATAAGTGTGTGACTTATTCACATTCGATTCAAAGTTTATTGCTACTTTTAAATTCAAACTATTAAATAGTTTATAATTTCACAACTTAATAGCCAATAGTAAAACTCATTCATCATAGCATCCATTAAAAAAAATCTACCATTATCTTATACATCATAAACATATACAAGAATTAACATAAAATCTTCCATTACCATCCGATAAATCATAAATAAATATACAAACTAGTTGATATATTATAGATTCTTGCAAAATCTATATTAATATTACACTATATTCTTTTACTATTTAGCTCTCACCTTTTCTGGTGGTAAGCTTCTTCAATATCTCTCTCCACTTTATGTTATTTATACTATCTCTTTTATCTAATTTATCCTTCTTCATATTGGCTCTAACTTTATGGCCCCATTGAAGTTTTGGCCTTCGGCTTTTACGTTTTCCCATCACTTCCAAACTCTCAACCTTATTTCCTATGTAGTTCATAGGGCTTCTCATTGTGTGCTCATACCACCTAGCCCTAAGTCTGTTTACGGTTATCTTAGTCATAATGGGCACTACCTTTAAGTTTCCTAGTATTCTTGTACTTCGCACCTTATCCTTTCTTATTACCCAAGCTATCATCTTCAGCATTCTCATCTCCATAGATTGTAGACTTCTCTCGTCTGATTCTTAGGTTGGCTATGTTTCCGAACTATATAGAATAGTTAATTGTACTATGGAACTGTAAATTTTTCCCTTCAATTTGTGTGGGATTCTTTTGTCAAAGAGCACTCCAGATAAAGATCTCCATTTTAACCACCCTCTATTAATTTTACTCTTTATCTCTTTCTCTATTGTGCCATTTGTTTGCATAGTGGAGCCCAAATATTTGCAGCTTTCAATTTCCGATATCTGCCATTTATTTAAATTAATGCTCTCTGTTTCATTTCCTCCTAACAACATATATTCCATTTTTCTCTATTTATTTTTAGTCCGAGCTTTTCTAGGCTAAATCTTTCTTTCATTTCATCCCTGGATTCTGCAAGTATCACAATAGCATCTGCAGATATCATATTCCATGGTACTGTTTGAAGTAGAGACTGTGATAATACATCTATTACTGTAATGAAGAGAAGTGGGCTGAGAGCCGACCCTTGATGAACTCCCTCGGCTATTGTGTTGAAGAACCTGTTGTGCTACGAACCATGGCCCATATACATATCCAGTATTATTGTTATATATTTTTCGGGAACTCTTTTGTGGCAAAGCGCCTTCCCCCCAGATAAGTCATCTTGGGATTCTATCGAAGGCCTTTTCTAGATCGAGAAAGACCATATATAGCTCTTTATCTTTTTATCTGTATTTTCATTCACTGCTTAACTGCGTTGATTGCATCTGTCGTTGATCTTCAAGACATAAAACCCAACTGAGTCTCTCCTATTTCGACTGTGTCTCTTAACCTTTTTTCCATTATTCTTTCGTAAAGCTTAAGACAGTGTGACATTAATTTTATGCCCCTGTAATTTTGACAATTATGTGGATCCACTTTATTTTTTAATATAGGAAATAAATAGTTCTGCCTTCATTTTTGAGGAATGTCTTCGTTTCCCAGTATTTTGTTCAAATTTTTAGGAAATGTATTCCTTCATCTCCTAGTGCTTTAAGGCTTTTTATTGGTATATCATCAGGACCCCCAGTCTAGCTTTGTTGTTTTTCATATGTTTGAGGCGTGTGTATTTTTTGTTCCATTACTGGTTGTATAAGGTTACATGGGGAGTGTTCATCTAGATGTAGTATGTGGGGATTAAAGGAAGCTCCTAAAAATATTCTTTCCATCTATTCATTATTTCTCTTTCCTTTATTATCAATTTCCTATCTTTATTTTTGATTACTTTCGATGCTCCGTTTATATCCCTAGAATTTTTTTCTCGCTGTTTGGCTAATCTTTATATTTTATTTTGTCCTCCTTTGGTATGTAGTTGTTCACACATGTCATCGTATGCCATATCTTTGGCCCTTGTCACCACCTTTGTAGCTATTCTTGGATTTTTTGTAATTTGTCTTGACATCTGGCTTTTTAGATTTGTACCATCTTTTATATAGGGTTTTTTCTCCTGTATACTGGTTTGTACCTCTTCATTCTACCACCATAGTTCTTTGATGATTTGTTGCCTCCTCTTGTCAAGCTTAATGTCGATTTGGCAGTGTCTATTAATCTGCATGAAAGATCTATCCGCATTTTTTCACTGACTTGTGAGGAATCCATTGTTTCAATGTTTGCATTGATTGCAAAGGCATCTGTCGTTGATTTTAATATACCCCATTTGATGCATGGTTCAAGTCTTGTTTTGAGTGGATTTATTTGTGAGGTGTAAATCCATGACTAGTGGCTTGTGTTGCGCGGGAATATCTTTTCCTGGGATGACTTTGCAGTATATTACATCTTTTAATCTTCTGTGCGAGATAAACATGCAATCTATCTGTGTTTTCCTTGCACCACTTTTATATGATATTAAATGATTGTTTTTTTTCTTGTAGTAGATGTTGATTAAGGCAAAGTCGAAGGCATGCGCAAATTACAGTACATGCTCTCCTTCATCATTTCTTTCTCCATATCCAAAACCACCATGATGCCTTTTGTAGCTGTCACTTGTTTTTCCCACATGCGCATTTAAGTATCCACCTATTATAACTAGGTCATCCTTAGGGATTTCCATTACAACTACATTAAGACTACCTCTAAAGTCATCTTAATCTTCTTCTTTGCAACCCGTTTGAGGAGCATACACTGAAAGAATGTGTAGTATTGATTGACCAATGCAGAGTTTTATTTTCATTAGTCTATCAGAGATCCTGTTGACCACTGAGGGTTAGATCTTGTCTGAGGGTAATCCCAACACCGTTTCTATTGCTAATAATTCCATTAGAGTACAATTTTTACCCATCTCCTTATTTTGGAAAACAATCAATGAATTTATTAGTAAAACAATTAATATAATGGGAAGGGGAATTAATGTATTTTTATAATATTGAGCTTTCCTTCTTTTGGAAAAAACTGGGGAAAGGAGTGGATAAAATATAATGACAAGACAAGAATTTATAATTAATATTATGGGGGCGTAGTATTGCAATTGAAGTTTATATAGAATTGTTAATATTTCAAGTTTTATTCAAGAAAATTACCTTCTTTTGGAATACAATCATAAAAATTGGAGAAAGGAAGGGAAAATATAATGACAATAATTCATAATTTGTATCTAGGTTCTTCTTTTGGAATCCAATCATAAAAATTGGGGAAAGTAGGGGACTAAATATATTGTTATCATATTGTTGCATCTTCATTTTTGGAACACACTCAATGAATATATTATAATGGGAAGGGACTAAGGGAATAAATGTATTATTATCATATTGTTGTATTTTAATTTTTGGAATACAATCAATGAATACATTGAAGAGGGACTATATATAGTGGGAATAAATTAAATTATATAATAATAATAAACTTAACAGGTACGAATGAATTGTATGAAATCTTGGTTAATTCTTAAAAAAATGCATGTTAAATAATAGATTATTTATATTTTAAAGGCGTTATTTGATATTGTAATTGGATATGTTATTATATTTTATTACTTTTAAAAAAGTTTATTTTTATGATCTGAGGCAATGTTTTTACTTTTATACAACATCTTTTTGGCATATCAATAAACTTTTTCTAATTAAAAATATTTTTTACTACATAAAAAATATAATTTTTATTAAATCATTACCATTTTCATCTGGATATTCATTGTTTAGCACAATAAATTCTTTTAAATTGCATAGATTGTATTTTGTTTTTAATATGACATTCCTTGTTGTTGCTAATTCACATAAACCTTGATATACAATAAATAATTTATTTAACATAATATTATTTCCTTTATCAAATATTTTATTTATCAAAAAGGTTCTTATCTTGTCCTTCATTGGGAAAACACACAATTAAGTGGCTTCCATCAACCAAAAGAGGGCGTGTCTATGCAGTAAATTTGCATCCAGTGTTTGGTAGTAAATTTACCGTACTGTCAGGGCCCATTTAATTAAAGAAGGATGATGGTACCTCTTTTGGATAAGCCAGGATTCACTGATTGACAGTAATTTATATAGATTATTGGTAAGAATAGAGAAATAAAAAAATATATAATTAATAAATAGTGTGCTTATCCTTTTAGAAAATTTGCTTCAATAGATTAGTGAATTTTTGATGGATCATTATTTATAGGTTTTAAAATGATTATGTGAATCCATTGTAATAAAATCAAGTGTATTTGATGGTAAATCTAGAAATAAAATTAATAAATGATTATAAAAAAATTAATTAGTTATTCTATAAAATTTCGTGTAATGTATCATTGCACATAATCATTAATAGTTTCTTATCATATTAAATATTAATCTTGTAGATTTCGCAGACGATCTTCTCATCTACTTCTGAGAAATCAAATATTTATAACATTTCTCCCATTTTCAATAGAGGGAAAATAGAAATGTTTGCAATTTAACAGCTTCATTCAAACCTGGCGTTTTAAATTTGAGACAATTTAAACTTTTAAGCATATTGAAATTCATAATGTGAGATTTTAAAAAATTTATGAGATTTTGAAATATTGAATAGCCGTGGGATACTGATTATTTAAATGGCCCCCAATATGTTTGAAGCGACAAAAATCAAAATCTTTGTGAAATCACTTTCACACGATACTAGCCGTGAGATTTTGATAGTATGAGATTTCGAAATCTCACGGTTATCACTTTAACCTGGCTTAAATTTTAAATATCAGGGCCGGGGCTAAAAAAAATTTCAAATAATAATCGGGCCGGGTCTTATATTTTAAAACCAAATACATTAAATCGCCATTATTAGCTATAAAAATATAAAATTAATAAAATATATTTTTAAAAAATCCGCGCTGAGTATGATTAAAAAAATCTGGGCCAAACCGGGCCTAAAAATATAAAATACGGGCTGAGCCCGTAAAATTTCTTAAAAGTCAGGCCAGGTCAAACAAATGGTAACTCTGCAGGTCCCTGATAAATAATATATATCTATAATAATACATAGACTGATGATGCATTCATTCAAAGTGTATATCAATGAAAACAGCTAGGGACGCCATTTGGATTACCCATAATATTATTAAAAATTTTAAACGAGAGGCCAATTTATTCCTATGTCTGACGTAAACTTTATTAAAGAATTTCCTTATCATCGAGATAATAAGGAAGCAAGTTATCAATAATAGTTTTTAACATGAGTATAATTATCGTATAGGTTACCCAAATGACAGGTCCAGCTGATATTCATTCAACGACGCTTTCAAATGTATTATTATGATTGCATCGAAGTCTAGGTATTATTATATGACATTGATATATACCCAAATCAGTCTCATAATATAATAGGAAATTAAAATGCGCTTCCAATATTCTCTATCATATCCAGTAGCACAGAACATAGTAGGCTTCAGGAAAAAATATGATCCTTGCTGGACTTGAACCCAAGATCTAATCGAAGGATGATATAGTTCATCACCGACTAGGCCACAAACGCTACTCGAAAACATCATATTTATTTGTACGTATTATAAAATGATAAATAAATGACGGGATTAAATATA